TGCAGTTGAATAAATCGAGAAAATATAAACGACAAAGGAAGTAATTTTTCTGTATTTTCTACTGCGAAGTATAGAATAAAATCAACAATTTAGTAAATTAATTATCAAAGGATACTTATGTTTTCCATAGTTTTATAATGTTTTCAATTTTGATCTAGTTATTATAAGCAAGAAGTTTTTAATATTCTAAGAAACTTGAATTAAGAACAAAATTGGCTCTTCAATGATGTGTGACCAATTAAGTCCTCGGCAAGGATTTCCAGATAAAATATTCATGCGAGGAGATGGAAAACCCATCTTGACGTATAAAAGATGGTTTATTTTCTTATTTTAGCAACTATTTCGGTAAAATTATCTATCTTTTTGATAATGGAACGCGGATTAACTAAGTAAAAACTGAAAATCTTTTATATTTAGATACAATGACAAAGATAGCTTTGCAATTTATATCGCAGCTCATCGTTCTTTTCATTTGCCATTTTTAGACATTAAGAAAATATTTTACCTTCTATTTTCCACTTTCTCTGTTCCTTGAATTTTCCGTAGCCCGCCATCGAGAACGATATCCGAATGTGTAATAAATTTAAACGTGACAACCAAGACGTTTCCTTAGCGAAATTCTGTTATATTCTAAAGTCACGAAACACGCAAAATTTTAATGCAAGAACGGCCAAGTTTTTGCGGAAATATACACGGCTGTTACAAGAAGTAATAAATTGAGGAAGTAACGTTTGTTTGCTAAATTAAAGAAATAAAATCGCTTCGTGGAACCGTCTCTCTACGAATAAATTGTGAGCTATACAACAACGGAAGGCACAACTTTATAAACTCTACGAATTCTCACTTATAAATAAAGTAGATTACTTTTCAATTTTTAAAGATTGCATAACCAAAAATATAATCGAGACTCAGTGGAAATAAAAATTTCCTTGCATGTATATGACGATGCTCAAACAAACAATAACATAAAATTTAAATTTTATAATAATTAACGCTAAGTGACGTTTGAGTTAAACGAAGCATAATATAAATACTGTTTCAACTATCGTCTCTTGTAAAAGCATGTTCCTTGTTTATAAATACGGAATAAACTAATAAGAATTAACACCCTCAGGGTGTTAGAGAAAAATTTAATAAACGGAAGTTGCACGGTATAATGGTGGAAATGTTTTCTTTTTACTTAGTGGATGAAATCGCTTCCACGATGTGAAAGGCACCTTTTTCTATTAAATAGAACATTTTCATATTTATTTTAAATAGAAAAATCACTTTTGCATTAACAAACCTTGTATCCTACTTAAAAAAAAAAGATTAAAAATTCTTATTGGTTCATTCTGTGTCTTCAAATGATGCTTAAAATAATTTCTGATCGAGGATATCGAACCCTTTAAATTAAATCAATTAATCTTGACACCAATTTGAAAAGAATTACTAATTTATTGAAGTTCATTGGTAAAATTAAAAAACCATGCCTTGAAAGGTAAGAATTGAAAAGTAATTCAATCAATATTTTCCGATCGCTTCTAATTATTGACGAACCGTATTTAGACCGCAATTTTCGAAAATCCGGGAATCCTTAGCGTCCCTAACAACATTAGGAAACTAATTTTATTGTCATCTAATATAGATAAACTTTTATTGATTCCACTATCCTCGTACTTATGCAGTTTATTAATAGCAATACTTTAATGCACTATGTATGAACGAGTGTACATCGGTTCATTCATGTTTCTATCTCTAAGAATATTTGGAAAACACATAATCCGATTGAAGCAATTGCTGTGTATCGGAGAAAACCAGAAACTCGTGAAATCCTGAATCGACCAAAATAGTGATTCGTTTTTCGACGAATAAAAAATAACGTTCGCGGGATAAAAATTAGACTGTCGAAGCTGCTCCCGGAAAAGAGAGTATGTCTTCGCGCGCTAAGTACCTTCTTCACGCACGGTTTAACTGTATTTACAATTCAAATTTCTTTCGTACACACTAACAGGGTTTAATAAATCAAGGGTGATTAACATTTAAATTTCCGGCCGGTTACGAACAACGATAACATTTTCGTGTTCTTAACATTCTATTAAGAATGTGGTTGACCGCCAACGCTTCGATACGAGTAATTAATTCGGACGGTAATTACAACGTGCTATGTATTTCGCCTGCGTAATAAATGTATTCGGTCGTACAACGATCCTGAACAAACAAATTGGTTTCCCGGCCTCTCATGAAATCTATCGACGCAGAGTAATTTTCAATCATACCGAACAAAATCTGCTCTGCAGAATTTTCGCTGATGCTTCCCTTTCTCACCGCGCTCCGACCCGGTGTAATTACAACGTTTTTTCTTAATAGGATTACCTATTTAATCCCGCTCAAAGCGTTAGTAATTTAACAGTTTGATACGCCCGCGAAGCTATCGTATTTTCGTGTTTAATGGATTCAGCGTCGAAGATTAACGCGTAACATTGGATAACGCGGTTCGGCTTTCAAGGTCAATTCAATTAATCACGCGTCGATGTGAAAGGACCACTGTGTCGTTGAATTTGAAATAGAGACAACGTTTTGGGAAGTTCTCATTTCGTGACCGTGAACAAGAACAAAATAATACTTGAAATACGATATTTATCAATATACCAAAATTTTGGTATTTTAAAAAAGGAAAATTAGAAATTATGAAGGTAGGTCTGGGGTTTAGTGAACCTGAAATAAAATACAAGTTTGCAAAATTACAAGAGAATTGTCCTATGGGTCATTTTAGACCCATACTTTGTCCATAGCAATATTTATCTATTTAAAAAAAAATTAAAAGACAACCTAGTATACTAAATCATGATAGGGTCTAAAAGGTGTTGACCATATGATTATCTCAACCAAAATTTGATGAGGGAACAGTTTCAGAAAACTGACGACTTGCACGAATTTTATCTTGTTTTCTTTATACTTGCAACAATCTAAGGTGTTCCTTTACGTACAGGCTGCATACAAAGAATGAAGCTCCGCGATGATTAGTGCACTCGATTCGCGTTATTTATTAAAAGTGTCACGGGTGAAGTCAGGCTACGAGAAACCGTGAAATGTATAAATTTGATCGTCCAATATTCCGGCGTGCTTTTGGTTTTTATTTCCACGACGCTGAAGAGGACTACGTGACAGGGCAATATTCGCGAAATCAGAAACTTTATTGCACACACACGCACGTACACGGTAACACGTGACAAATTTCACACAACAGGTCAAACCTTAATTACGCTGGACGTTATAAACCGAATAAAATTTCAAACAAGCGCCAGCAAATTCAGCCGCGTTACGCGATCTTCGAATCCGTGTCAGCAGGCAACAAAATCGCCAACAGGATGGCACAAAAATCGCAAACACAGTTCTCCCGCTGCTGTCTGTCGTCGTCGTTATTCTTTTACGACATTATACTTTTGCGTTGTTTTCAGTTTTCTTGTTCTAACATTACGAAAAGAACTTGCGTAGGACAAAACATCATGGATAATCATTACACGACCTCACCCCTCGTTATACCTTCAAACTCCAAGTTCTGAAGCTTAGACAATAGAAAATACAAAATTTATTACTGTATATTAATAAAATTTAATTTTTTATGGACATTCAATTTTCATAATATTTTATTTTAGTTTCTGTTCAATCGAATCTTTTTCGGTGTATTTATTTCACGTGATATTTATTAGTTTAATTTTTTAAAAACATTTTAATTAAAATATTAATTTGATAAATCTATAAATTAAACTGCATTCGAATTTCTCAGAGTTTTTCAACATTTAATTACAGTTGTTTGAGATGAAAAATTTTAGAGTTTCTGGCTGCATACTGTTATTTTACGCCATTGTTTTGTTGCAAACGAGGATACAGAATTTAAAACTTCGATTTTGAGAATGATCGAGAGTACGTAGGACCATTGAAAAATCGTAGCATCGGAGAATAATTTTGACACTGCGAAAGAGACACGAGAGAACTAATTTTTGAAAGGCTTTTTGCTCCACTCTTATGCCAGCTATTTGCCAAGCAATTTCTACGCTCAGATTTTAAGGCACAGTGTGTTCTGATTAAACCAAGAGGCTTACGGAACTACAAACGTTATTATTTCATTACCATTAACAAATCTTGATTAAAGAAAATTCACAATACAAGTTAAATGGAAAACAAAAAGATTAGTTTTTAATTTGAAATTAATTTCAACGCACTTCCTCGAGAATAAAAACCATGCAAGTTTCTATGAATCTTCGTTAAATTTCAAATTATAATTAGCTACTGATGAATATGAACTCGATAATATTTCATTATGGTTATATAAAACTAAGCAAAACTATTTTGCGTGTGATTTCGTAACTGTTACTAAAAATTATATTTTCGCACTAGAATAATTCATGACATGACTGTTTTTCTTAAACGTGAGTTGGGAATCTTGTTAATACTTAATCGAGATTCTAACTTGGTAAACTCCGCGTAAGACTCGCAACATAAGTGATTTTAAATATGTATAGCCTTCAAAAATTAATTATTATCCGGATCATCTTAATGTTATCTTGTATTTTAGATTGCATATAAACACTAGATTTATATATGTTTGCAATCATAAAACGAAGTATTTTATTTCAAACTGTCCATCAAGCCGTGGAACAAAAATAGAACATATTTAACTATCATTACTAAATAAAAATTAACGTTAAGTACCTCGATTAAAAAATCTATTTTCACATACTTTCTAAATAACTGAATAACAGAACCGTTTCATTCATCTATAATTTCTATTAAAAGTTTTTCAAACAACCATATATCCAACTCAGGTAATACTAGTTTATTACAATTTTTTTTATCTTCCAAGTGAAAAGTCCTACATATGGCTGACTTGACGATCAGCGTGTTGATAACGACCCAAATGATCCTACGTTAAACTAGATTCCGCGGTCCCGTCGATCATCGATCAAACGCATGATGCAAAGGTACGATAAAATGCGTAAAAACATTCTGGTACTCACCAACTAATTCCGGACGCACGCCAACTAACAAAGTAGTCACCACTAGAAGAGGCACCTGCGGTCTACGCGTGTACGTACCACGTTTTTCACACATGATTCACCAACGCGGAACACGATGCAAACGTAGCGCTTGTCGCGTCGAGACTGAAGTTCCGAGTTCGTGGGATTCCCTGTATATCCTAAGCGCACGAGGATCCCCCACCCTCGTCAGTCCAACGCGACCCAACCGAGGGTGCTCCCCGATACGAACCACCCTCTTCATCCACGTTTCGAGTCGTTCAACCCCTCCTCCAAATACTCCGTTGTCAATCGCCCCCCTCCCCCTCACTGTCACCTTCGCAAATTACGCGTTTCTAATCGTCTCCCAACCGAACTCTAACTCCGCGTGTTCACAACTGGAACACTCTCTTAGAACCTTTTCCTTTCTGACCCTATTGACAGGCCAATTAGGAACTCGTCGACGAGCCTACGAGAAACGAGAGAATCATTGGAGACTTTTTTATTTCAATTTCACGAAGATAAGATGGCTTATGGTTTTCTAGATTTTATTAGAACGAGCGTTGCAAAAATGTGAAATTAATCGGATGAATTCGTACGTAGTTTCTGTCTCAAAGGAAATATTACTGTGTGTCGACGTCTGCGTGTTTATGATTCAACCGTTCGTACCTGCGACGATAGTGTCTAGCGTTTTTGTATACTGTTTTTTTTTTCTTTTTCGTCAAGGGTCTCGTTTTGGCAAGCTAATTGGAATTCGTGGAACTATCTATTTCTAGAAACGACGAACACCTGCACGGAAAATGTATTTACAAGGTACGGCAGATTCTTCGAGGACTATTTATTTAAATTCTATTAGAATTTTCCAGACGTTCCAAGATCGACGATTTTATCCATGACTTTGAAAAATTTTTGAGCCAACGTATGTATTACACTCCTCTCGAGGTTTACAGATTTATAGAGATAATTTTCTTTTGCCTAAAAGAATTTTACTAAAGACCGTAAAACTTCCTAAAGGTACACCTTTATTCGTTCAAATTTTAATGCACCGGCAGCAGATTTACTTTCGAAACTCGTGCAATTCGTATAGAATTATTTAACATAAACGCGGCGATATGACACAATATAACGCGCAACGTTGTTAACTTATAGCATTATTTGAATAATGGATGTTAATCGAATTATTAAAGTGATATTATGCAACATTCTGGCCCCACTAACCTGAATTTGTTCGGTACTTAAATCAAATTAATGAACGCAACCCTCAGCGAAATAATTGAAATGGAATGTATGAACTGGTAATCCTCGCTAACAACGATACATCTCCCTTTGACGTGATAACAGCACGATCAAAGAGAGTTCTACAAACCGTGCAACGGCTTTGCCAGGCCACGCGGTTCATGATTTGCTTCGGCATAATCCCGTGCAGATTTGCGTTATATTTATGTGGCGCTGCTTTGCTGCGGGTAGGAATTCGATGGAATCTTAGGAGGCAGAAAAGGAAAGGAGAGGGCGTGTTTTCGCCCGGGCCTGCTAGCGGACTCGTCAGTAAGGCTTTGTAGCAGGCCCTGCCTTAGACGACTGGGATGTTGGGAAGTCGTTCGAGGAATGTACATTTAACAACTGAGGGGTCGGTCGAGCGCTTGTGAGAGCGCGACCCCTCTGGTGGCGAACATGGAAGGCGACGCCACATTTATTTATTGTTTGCATTATGAAAGCAAAAGTCCGCTGCGAATAGACGCGTTAAAATAATTCTTTTTTATCCGTTGGATTGGCTGTTTCTCGACAGTCAGAATTTATTTTAAGCGAAGTCGACGCCTTCAGAAACCCTAATTCTTACCAACTATAGCAAACGAACGCAAAGAATTTTAATTTAATTCGATATGGAAACATCTTTGGTCCTTGGATCGACGCATGTTCAATTAACCTTGGGATCTTTCGAATTTGAATGCATAAAAAATTCACTAAAACGCATTCAAGTATATAGTTTAATTCTATAGAAATCAAAAATACTTTGGGAAGTTTCTTATCTTGCAGCACAGTAGATTTCTATTCAATTTTTTTTACTCAGAATTTGGTTTATACTTCATTATCACGATTCATCTAACAAAAGTGTTTTTACAGAATGATAACGTCATAGAATATAGACTAGTTTTCTCATTCATTTGTAAAGAAAATGTTTCTAGGGTTATGAAAGATTCCAATGTGTCATTTCAGAGTTAATTTTATTTAAGAAAATATTGTAATCAACGTTTCCACCATAATGGCTCTCTTCGAAAGAAAAAGCATAGTATCTTTACTATAGGTTGAGTCTGGGCTAATTTTGTGCATAAATACTGAAGAGTACTTTATTTTTTAAGTAGCTATTATCCGCGGCCTTGTCCGCGTTAAAATCGTTCCTTTTTTTAATTTCCATCGGTCGTGTCTGTGCATTGAAAACTTGTATCGGACAAAAAAAGTTTCTAAATTTAATTTCCAGTAAATTATGTCATACGTGCTCTCGTCGTGACAGCAAATATAAACGTGATATCGTATGTTTTATGGTTAATGTCCCTGACAGCCCCTCCCCACTCTCCAGAAATTTTACGATGTTATACATAGTAGCCTGGAAAAATTACCAGCCAGACGGTTTTTTCACTTTCTCTCCCAACGGCAAAAAATAATAAAATTTTTATCGCTGTTGCGTACAAGGGCATATTATGTCGAAAAACTAAATTCTATACAGTAGTATTTTTAACTTAGATTTTCACTTTGGACAGTCGTTTTATTTGGAAATGTGTCGAAACTTTAACTAATTTTATTTTCGTTTTAATCAAAGAAGTCTTTGCCTATTATCGATTCTGTTTTTCTGTATAAAATGGAGTTTATGGGGAAGGCAAAGCTCTTATTGTTCTGAAAAGTTGCCTTAGAAGACTGACTTTTTAAAGAGCTTGTTAACGAAAGTTTAACTAAATCGTTATTTACAAAAAGCTCTTGTTAATAGTTTGTTTATAGCTTGAGTCTGTTGTTGTCGGGTGGTCATGGAAATCGTTTAAGTACATTGAACGTTACTCCTTCCAAGTATGTGCTACCTAAGCTAATTGTTATAAACTTTCTGTTCCGACTATTAAACTATTTCTTTCAGGAATGTTTCTCTTTCTAGTAAAAAGAAGTAATAACTGCATATTTGCGTACGATAAATAAAGGATACAAATTTGTATCTTCTCGATTTGATGGTTAATAACTTTCTAATAATTTCTCGTACGTTTGTTGCACATATCAATGAAGCATTTGTCAATTGTCACGCGCCGTCTGCCATTGCGGTTAACCACACACGTTGTTGGTTTGCCTTGTGATTAGCTTGAGTCAAGCTAGGCGACAATTTAACTAAAGTAGAAACGAAGATTTTCAATCTTAATATTCCCCTAAATTATAGTATTCCTATTCCTTACGAAACACAATAATTTTTCTTTAAAAAAGGTTATAGAACTCTAACGATTATCATCGGTGTATACAGGGTGTTCGGCCACCTCTGAGAAAAATTGTAATGGGCGATTTTAGAGGTCAAAATAGGACGAAAATCGAGAATACTAATTAGTTGATGGAGGCTTCGTTAAAAAGTTATTAATGTTTAAAGTTCCGCCCGTACGGAATTTTTTTTCTCGAAAATGCGTAGGATTTCGGGGGTATGTCTATTCACCAAAAATGATTGTAATTGGCCCCTGCAATCGAAAATAATTTTTCCAAAACGATTTGAAATTTTTTTTTTTGCCGAGAAATTTCAACAGCTACCCGTCGATTTTTTTTAGAAATTCGTTTTTGACTTTTAGTAATTTTATTTGACTTTCTACAGAAAAGTTGTTTAATACTTTTTTACAGGTACCCATGAGGTCTACTTCAGAAAAATTTTTCATTGAGATATATTCACTATTGTAGGAGTTATGGCTATTTGAAAATTGGACTACGTTTATGGGGTTTTTCACATTTTACGAGGTCAAGGAGCAACTTTACAAATATTTTTGGAATTTCTACATATTCTTCGCCAAAATACGCGTTGTTTGCCACTTGAAACTTCAAAATCCTTCAATCCGTTCAGAAGTTATGACGTTTTAAAGATATGAATGAAATTTGAAGGAAGCTTTCGGGTATCACATTAGATTTTCGGTGAGGAATTTTTTTCTCGAAACTGCGTAGGATTTCGTGGGTATGCATAACGACCAAAACTGATTGTTATCGAGCTGTGCAACTAAAAATAATTTTTTCAGAATGATTAGAAATTTTTTAATTTAATTTTTTAATATCTTTTTAACGAAGTTTCAGTTAAGAAATTGATATTCTGGATTTTCGTCTTATTTTGACCTCTAGAATCTCCCATTAAAATTATTTCCAAGGGTGGTCGAACACTCTGTATAAATAACATAACTCGCACATTCCATTGCCAACTTAACAGCGTCAAAAAGAATTATAATTTATTCTAACGAGCTCAGTTGTAACCTGGACCGTAGTACGAACGTGTTAATTCTATTCTACTATTATTCGACAGGAAATAGGCGTCCCATAAATAACATAAATTATAATTCGACGTTTCGTCCTGAATTTCCCGTTGAGCTTGTCACGAAGACTGATTCAGCAAATATAAATAGACTCACGAGAGAAATTGGAGAATTTGACAATTCTGTTGAAACATTTTCCGTAGAATGAAATAGTAGATTCGTCACAGAAACCCATTTCATTTTATGTTTTTTTTTATTCGTCGATATCGTCGCCCCTCGAAAGGAATTAAATTTTTCACATAATATGATAATATGCTTCTCGTGAATAAAATAAATTACCGATAACACGGTTTAAATGTGTTACCGCCTTGAATAAATTCCACATCCTGTGATATTTATTTTATTTTACGTTTTTCTATTTTTAAAATTTCGATCTGCTTTTAGGATATATATAAAAGAGCAGAACTTTGGTGATAATAAATTATAAATAAATAGGAATATAAATCGTACGCTAAATGCATTATGAGGCGTCTAGGAAAGTTTAAATTCAGACGAAATTCTATCCTTAAAAACATTATTTTCAACCAGAATTAACCTAAACTGAAATATTTAAATGCATTTCTTGTTCAGGTTTCCGAGTTGTATTTTATTCTTAACCGCTTTT